ATCTCTCATTCCATGGCCTCTTCTGAATCCAGCTTGAACCTCTGGAAGTTCTCTATCAATGTATGATTGTAGCCGTTTCTGTATTACCTTTAGCAATTCTATATTACCTTTGGCTAAAGGGTAGACCTATGTTAACATGAATGACAGGGCAGGCAATATACAAGCGGGATGTTAGCAGAAGAAAGATGAAGGTAGCAGAAGACACAGGGAGGAATATAACAGTTAAAGTGAATACAGATAAATGCTGTTAACTGTTGTTATATGGAGGGGATTGCAACAATGTAATGAAGCAAAGTATGTGGTTTGTTGAATGTGAAAGTGATGATCTGCTCTGTAAACCTTCTCTCAATTCACAATAAAAAGTTGGGTTTTTTTTTTAAGTCAACATATAGCTTCCTACCATAAAAATATCTGTCAAAAGGAGCATTGTAGGTCTCTCTGAGCCCATGTGGCCTCCTCATCCCTGTCTTATGAGGGCCCAGTCCTGCATAGCTAGGCCAGATTGATTGGTCCAGAAGATGACAAACTATAGAGCTGAGTGTCCGCTCCATATTCCTGGTAGGGCAGCTTCTGTAATTATTCATTCTCCCGTTAGGTGGCACTCTTGTCTTTTAAGTATGCAAAATAACTTCTCTAGTACTGAAGGCTTTCTTTAGACTGTCCGGAGGAAAAACAAACTATTTTTACTCTTGACTGTTCCATGGACTGGAAACACAGATGACTCATCTTGAGAGTATGTTCCCTTCCCACCGTGCCAAAACTTGCTTTATGATTATTTTCACAAACTGATGGCACTGTCTGACTTTGTAAAAAATAAAGTTAAGTGAAGGGATAATTATTTGGATTTTTTTCAGGAAAGGAAAAAAAAAAGTAGACATAATTTGCTTTGGCATTCTAGATATAAGCAGTTTCTACAACCTGCCTTGGTCCTTTCCTTCTTGTGAATTTTTGTGTTCCTTGTGAATTTCTGTTTTTCAGTCCTGAGGTGGTGCTATAAGATAAGCAACTCAATTGTGAACCATATGGTTGGTGGTTCAAACCCACCAACATCTCGGAAACCCTATACAGGGTCACTATGAGTCAGAACTGATTTGACGTCACTTAAATACTCAAAGAAGGGCTGCTAAAGAGAGGTAGAACCGGTCTGCACTACAACTTGATCACCTCATAATCCTAAATATCTCAGATCCTCATAAATGATGATATAGATAAATATGGTGGTGGTGGTTATGTGCCATGGAGTCTGCTCCTACCCATATCGATCCTGTACAGGGTTTCCGCGGCTGTAAATCTTTATGGGAGCAGAAAGCCTCATCTTTCTCCCATGGAACAGCTGGTAGTTTATATATACAGCATCAAATAACTCTTCATTTATTTCTTTCTTGGAAAAATGAACTTTGTTTTTAAAATGAGAGATGGTGGCTGCCCATGAGATACATTGATGGAATTATGCCCATATCTCTCTCATGAAAGGCAAGAACTCTACCACAGAGTTCACCAATGCCACATTATATTTGTTGTTGTTGTTGTTAAGTGCCGTCGAGTCGGTTCCGATCCATAGCGACCCTGTATAGGGTTTCCGAGGGATAGAGGATATGTAATTGGTGGTAAAAGAGCTCTGGTAGTGTAGTGGTTACAAATTGGGCTCCTAACATCACGGTCAGCAGTTCGAAACCACCAGCTGTTCCACGGGAGAAAGATGAGGTTTTCTGCTCCCGTAAAGATTTACAGCCGCGGAAACCCTGTACAGGGTCACTATGAGTCGGAACTGACTCCACAGCACTTAACAACAACAACATAATTGGTGGTAAGTGCTGGCCAGTCAGTTCTGACTCATAGCAACCCTATATAGGATTTCTGAGGAGTAGCTGATGTGTTTGAACCACCAGCCTTGTGATTAGCAGCCCAGTGCTTATCCATCACACCTGTACTCCAGAGCATATACTATGTTGTTGTTGTTGTTAAGTGCCGTCGAGTCGGTTCCGACCCATAGCGACCCTGTACAGGGTTTCCGAGGGTGTAAATCTTTACGGGAGTAGAAAGCCTCATCTTTCTCCCGTGGAGCGGCTGGTAGTTTTGAACCGCTGACCTTAAGGTTCACAGCCCTATTCGTAACCACTACGCTACCAGAGCTCCTAGAGCATATACTATAGCCACATTTTATTTCCATTTCAGAGAGAAGCAGCCAAGGCCTCACAGTGGGGACCACGAGAACCTGATGAACGTGGTGAGCCCCCTACCCCGTATGTGCGGGTACATGCGTGTGAGCCCCCTACCCCATGTGTGAGTGTGCGTGGGTGTGTGCTCATGAATGAATACTTGGGCCTTTTCAAACATCAGCCACTCTACAGTGTTCCCATGTGCTTTAGCCTAAATGAGACTAAGGGGGAAAATCTTTTTTTTTTTCTGTAGGCTTAATGTCACCATGGTTGTATGCCTGTGCAATTTACCAGGTTTCTGGGGAGTGTTCCTGAAATTGGTGAAGTCTGGTACATCTGTGCTGCTGTTAGATTTTTAAGAGAAATTGTTCTTTTGCCTCTGTCCATCTCCAGCCCTAGCCAGTCATTAAGGGTTGGAAATGAAAACACCCAAGGATTGGCCCGGCCCTCCGACCTTATTATTGTTAAATGCTGTCAAGCCAGTTCTGACACATAGTAACCCTATATAAGGTTTCCAAGGAGCAGTTGGTGGGCTTGAACTGCTAATCTTGCAGTTATCAGTCCAGTCCTTACCCTATAGCACCACACCAGCACTCGCAGCACATTTTGGGCCCAAGGAATCCCTGTGTGAGGAGCCGCTCAGAATGCCCCATCCCAAGTGGTCCACTCAGATTCAGGGCCATCCCCTAAAATGGCTGGGCAGTTCCAGAAACTTGGGATGTGTCCACCCTCTTGTTCATAGAGCTCTGCTCATCAACGTCCTACTTGAGTCTTGCAATGCAGATGCTTCCTGTTTCAGAGTCTTTTTTCAAAATCAGACAAAACTGGCTAAGACAAGAGCGTACAAAAAGGAAGTATGATGAATCAAAGAGATTAAATGTGGTCTGGTGTAAAATATGTGGCCAGCAGAAATGCTCAGAGCTTACCACGAAGGAAACTGCATCTGGGCTGCCCTAACCCAAGAATGTGCAAGACTCTTCTGGCCCAAGCAGACAGGAAGTTGTCAGGACTCCCTTTCTTCACAGGAGCTCCTGGGATTGCCTTCCTGTGCATGTGCACACGTGCACATACAAACACCTTGCAACCCCACCCCAGTTCTCCCACCCTCAGTTCCAATCTCTGATTGTCCAAGTCCTTACTTCTCACCTGTTCACAGTGCCTCTATTTTGTCCCAATGGTGTCAGCAAGGGGAAATGTAAAAGAGCTGAGGAGGGAAACGAGCACAGGAGACACCAGGTGGTGGATCTCCTGCCCACAGATCCCAGGCCCCTTCCTTCTCTTCCCCCTCTGCTTGCAGCCAGTTGTCAGGTGTGGTAGGGGCTGGACAGAGGGCTTCCCTCTCCCCTCCTCCCTCCCTGTCTCCACTTCCTTCTGGAGCAGCGATTCTCAAGTGAGGTCTGCTACTACCAGTAGCAACATCACCTGGAAGGTTGTTAGAAATGCAGAATCTCCTACAGTCAGCAAACTGTTTTAATAAGCAGTCTAGGTGATCCTGATCCATGTTTAAGAACCTGTGCTCTAGACCTTTGGTTCCAGCTGTTTTGCTAAAGATAACTACTGATCCTGGATGACCTTCCCAGAGGCCTTTGTAGATCACCAGGTAGGAAGCTCCGCAGATGGTCCTGAAGATTCCCAGTGACTCTAAGATTCTAGGGTAGGAATGTCCATTTAACTCTGTCTGCATGTTCTGTGTCCACTCTGTCTTGTATGGTAACCATTCATTCCGTGTGGTGGCCACTGAGCACTTGAAATATGCCTAAGGCAGCTGAGGAAGTCAGTTTTTAATTTAATTTCAATTTAAATAGCCACATGTGTCTAGTTGCTAGCATAGGTCTAGGTTTTTCCTGATGAATGTAAGCAGATTTGTAAGTGTTTTACATACAACTCTTACTGGCTGAGTGGATTTTGGTTTTGTTGTGGTTATTATAATTTTCAGAACAAGCCACAGATGTCTTTTCTTTCACACAGCCTAGACTCTTAGCAGTGTTATGTGTTTGTTTTCTGCAGACATCAGACAAGGAGATGTTCAGTCGTTCCATTACTAGCCTAGCAACGGATGCTCCTGCCAGCAGTGACCAGAATGGGGCACTCACCAATGGTGACAGTAAGTTCTACAAAAAAAATGCCTGCTTTCCCCCACAGGCCTCATCACCAAAGAAAATGATTCAGTTTAAAAAAAAAAAAAATGTAGCTCAAAATTGGATCTTGCTCACTTTTACTATTACCACCAGTTTTAGCAAAAAGAATCTCATTTAGATGAATAACAACAACTGTTTGTAAGTAATGTTGTTGTTATGTGCCATGGTGTCAGTTCCGACTCATAACGACCCTGTACAGGGTTTCCAAGGCTGTAAATCTATGGGAGCAGAACACCTCATCTTTCTCCCATGGAACAGCTAGAAGTTTCGAACTGCTGACCCTCAGGTTAGCAGCCCGATTCGTAACCACTACTCTACCAGAGCTCCTCGTTTGTAAGTAATAGTAACTAATATTGATTGACTTTTCTAATGTGCCCAGGGATCACTTCAAGTATGGTACATGTACTAATTCACTAATTCCAGCAACCACTCTGTAAGTTATTATGACGCCAAACCAAACCTATGGCCATCAAGTTGATTGCAGCTCTTAGTAACTCCACAGAACAGAGAAGAACGGCCCCCATCAGGTTTGCAAGCCTATAATCTTTATGGAAGCAGACTGCCATACCTTTCTCCCATAGAGCAACTGGTGTCTTCCAACTGCTTACCCACTGGGTCACCAGGGCTCCTATAAGTTATTGTTGTTCAGTGCCTTTGAGTCGGTTCCGACCCATAGCGACCCTGTATAGGGTTTCTGAGTAGCGATTGGTGAGCAACTGTACAGTGTATAGGAGAGGCGACTGGGCACACAGAATGGTTAGTTTTCTATCGCTGCTGTAGCAAACCACCACAAATTTTGTAGCTTAAGAGAACACAAATCGATTAGCATGCGCTTCTAGAAATCAGAAGTCAAAAATGAGTCTCACTGGACTAAAATCTGAGTGTCAGGAGGGTTATGTTCTTTCTGGAGATTCAAAGGTAGGATCTCTTTTCTTGCTTTATCTAGCCTCTAGAAGCCACCTGCATTCGTTAGTGAGTGGCTCCTTCCCCCATCTTCAAAGCCAGCAGGCAGCACCTGTAAATCTCTCTCTGACTGCCTGTTAGCCTCCTCGTTCACTTAGTACATGGGCAGGGAACCCTTTTTCTGCCAAGGGCCATTTGAATACTTATACCATCATTCACGGGCCATTCAGAATTATCAAACTAAAAATTAACTTCCTGTATATGGTCAAACATTTAGTTAACTCACCCCTAATGTGATGGCTAGAGTACTGGTGTGGCACTGTGGGCTAATGTGTCAGATTGCAAAGTCATTTGCACTGTAAGGTCGGTGGTTCAAGCTCACCAGCTGCCCCTTGGAAACCCTATACCAGATCACTATGGGTCGGAATCAACTCGACAGCACTTAACAACAACAATGTGATAGCTGGAGCTGCTATTGCCTTGGCAGGGCCAAACCAAGTGATTTTGTGGACAGTCCCCACCGCTGACTTATTAGAACACTTGTGATTACATTGGGCCCACCTGGGTAATCTAGACTCACCTCCCCATCACAAGGTCTGCTGATTATCAGCCTTAATTCCCTCTGTAGTCTTGGTATTCCCTTGCCAGATAACATAACGTTTTCACAGATTCCATGAATTAAGATATGAATGTACTTGGGTTGACAATTATTCTACCACAGAGATGTTACTTACTTTGCCTAAGATCTTACAGCTAGTAAGCTGAAGAGATGTATTTTAAACCAGGCAATCTGAGTTCTGAGCTCATACCCTGAACCACTGTGCCTACTTAATACCAGAAGGCACTTAACAAAACAGCCAGAGGTTCTGCCTCACAAATATCAGTCTACCTTTACACATTACAAAAGTACTTTCCCCACTAGTAGATCAGGAAAGTGAGGGACACCCAGTATTAACACCCAAGTCTTTAAACGGCAGTGCCTTTTCCTGTCCATTCTGACACATAGATCACTAGATCCAGGGGCCAAAATTCAGTACTTAAAATACAGTGTTGTTGTCATTTCTTATTTCTGCATGGTTGAGTGGTCATTTTCATTTCACCAAGTATCCTTTTGTTATTGTTGTTAGGTACCGTCGAGTTAGTTCCAACTCATAGCAACCCTTTATAGGGTTTCTGAGGACCAACTGGTGGGTTTGAACTGCTGAATTTGTGGTTCAGACTGACCTTGCGGTCTAGTGCATTATCCTGCAGTGCCACACCAGGACTCCAAGTATTCTTGGGGCACTATATGTAATCTTCCCCCCCAGAATGAGACATAGTACTTAAGTAACTTGCTGCATAGTGTAAGCACCATAAGGACAGGATTCTTTGTTGTTGTTGTTTTTAATGATGTACCCTCAGCACCTTGAATTATCCCTGGCACATAGTGTTGCTAAGCGCTATCAAGTTGGTTCCAATTCCTAGCGACCCTGTGTAGAGTTTCTGAGGAGCAGCTCGTGGGTTTGAACTGCCAATCTTGTGGTTTGCAGTCCAATGTTGATCCTACAGTGCCACACCAGGAGTCCTGGCCCATAGTAGGCACTCAAAAAATATTTGGCAAGGGGCTTCACACAATGGCATTTCAGTGGCAATCCATGAATTCCACATTTGCACTTTCTAATTGGAGACAGGAATGCTGTAGGGAGAATGGTGTCGTGAGATGGAAGAAAGACCTTTAAAGGGGAACATGGAGTATTGGGTCCCTTTGTAATACTGGTTGTTCCCAGTATATCTGCCAATTGAAAATGATCTTTTAAAGGGGATATCTACCAATTAAATGGAGGCCAAATAGACAGAGACCAATAGGGTCAGGGACAATGACCCCCACACATGCCCCCTTTTCTGGTGCCCAGTCTCATGCCCTTTAACCCCTTCAAGTATCATTTTTACTCTCTGGCAATATCGGAACGCTTTCCCCTTAAGAGGGCTCCTCCAGTATAAAAATAGTGTAGTGATTGTGGCCCAAATTGATACCCAAGGTAGTTTATTAATTATTGTACTGGAAAGGTGTAATAGACAACTTTGGTTCTAAATTGTGATTGAAATAAGACTATCAATTGGCAGTCATAGTCTAAATAAAGTTAAGTCTCTTTATTTAACCTGGCTTTGCATGGTCTGATTCATTGTAATGATTATTTAAGGAGCTGTCATCTCCACTTCTAATGTTTCTTCTGTTTTAGTTCTTTCGGAAGACAGTACTGTGACCTGCATGCAACATTATGAGGAAGTACAGACCTCAGCTTCTGATCTGTTAGACTCCCAGGATAGCACAGGGAGACCTTCCAAATGTCATCAGAGTCGGGAGTTGCCCAGAATTCCTCCTAACAGCACGGTGGACACGATGCTCAATACAAGAAGTGTGGATGGGGACCAGTGTCTGGGAATGGAAGGCCCATATGAAGTACTCAAAGATAGTTCCTCTCAAGAAAATATGGTAGAGGACTGCTTATATGAAACAGTAAAAGAAATCAAAGATGTGGGAGCAACTACACACCCAGATAAAGGCCACAATGGCAAGTCCAAGTCTACCGCTGCCTTGAAGGAACTTCCAGAGCCCCAAGCCCAAGGCAAAGCAGAGTTTGCCGAGTATGCTTCAGTGGACAGAAACAAAAAGGGCCGACAAAGTGTTAATGCAGAGGTTGTTCTTGGATGCTCACATGACCCAGAAGAGGAGGCCCCACCACCTGTCCCCATTAAACTTCTAGATGAGAATGAAAACCTTCAGGAGAAGGAAGAGAAATTGGTAAAAGAAGAAGGAGGCGCCGAGGGCACCACTGAAACCAACAAGGTGGGTCCTGGTATGTTTATTGGCGTGCTTGTCATGACTAGGAATCTAGCTAATCTTGGGGCTTTTATTTACACATTTTTCTGGAAAATATATTCAGACACCTTCCAGTTTGTTGAATGATGGAAGCTGTTTTAGTGTAAGCAGTGTCGATGTTTTTCCCTTTCTAAATACCAAAATAATGAAAACTCTTGTTTCTGTAACATTTCTTCTCTCAGCACCTTAATTAGATGGGTTTTTTTCAGTTTTTACATCAAGTGCAAACAGGACAAGTTTTGGTCATTTCAAACATGAAGAATTAATTGGAGAGTATACTCTGCCACATATCCAGTCCCTTCTCTACCTTTTTACCTCAAACGTGGTGACCTTTACCCTTCCACAATCCCAGAAATCAAAATATGGGCATGTCAAGAGTGAAACTCACAGGGACCACTGGTTTTATCTTCTAAACTAGTTGTTATCAATTCATGGCCATGCCATGTGTGTCAGAGCAGAAATGTGCTCCCCAGCATTCCCTTTGGCTGATTTTTCAAAATCAGATCACCAGACCTCTCTTTCATGGTACTTTTGGGTGGACTAAAATGTTTAACCTGTCAGTTTAACAGCCAAGAGCATCAACCATTTATTCCACTCAGAAACTCCCTGATTATATATTTTTAATGTAAATTAAGTAAGTGATTTTATTTTTCAACAATTTCTAAACATTAACCTAAGCTCTTAATTGTAGATATTGAACAAAGCTCCAACATATGTTAACCCCATCCACAACTCCAATTGTCAAATTCTTCTTGGGATTTAACCAAACTCAGCCTTCTTCAAAACACTAATTTTCTATTTCTCTTTTGTACACCGAATTCTCTTCTGCTAGTTTTGGTAGGAAGGCAAGTAGTATTGTAAGTTGTTGTTGTTCTGTGCCGTGGAGTCGGTTCCGACCCATAGCGACCCTGTACAGGGTTTCCGAAGCTGTAAATCTTTACGGGAGCAGAAAGCTTCATCTTTCTCCCGCAGACCTGCTGGTAGTTTCAAAATGCTGACCTTGCAGTTTGCAGCCCGATTCATAACCACGACGCCACGAGAGCTCCTTAGTGAGTAGTGGCATTAGAAAACCTGTGGAATTGTCGATGGAAAGGTGAGCCCAGGTTGTGGTTGCATAGGTGTACAAAGGAGGTCACTCTCTGTAATGTTCACTCTTTGTAGTGCTCTGAGGATAGAGTTCAGCAGTTCACAGTATCCCTGAGATCTGCTATTGAGAACACTGCCCTTTTATGATAAATGTAAACTTATTTCAAATAAATGTGTCTCAGAGCACATTCATAAAATCCAAATCTACAGTCTTATTTTTTTCTGCCCTTCTTCTAACCAAAGGTAATGAAATTGATTTAGAGTTTATGTTGTCAAAAGCATTCCAAGTTTTTTACTTGCAATCATTTGAAAGATAAGAGACTTAATAGTCTCATCACTTATAGTAAACAGTTCTCAAGAGTTTCCATTAGAAACTAGAAACATCAACCTAGGAACAAGATTACCTTTCTGCATCATAAAATGAGTAATTTCATAATCTCCATATAAACAATCCTAATTTTAATGTATTTTTTTAAGTACTGAAATGTTAAACATTCATTCTTTCTTTCAGTAAAAAGATTTTAATGAGCACCTGCTATATGCCACATATTCTGCTAGGGCCTGGGACTGTACCAATGAACAAAATACATAAATGAATAAAAAAATCTTGCCCCCATGAAGCTTATGCTTTTGTAGGCAGAGATCAACATAAACATGATGTTACTGTTAAGTGCCGTTGAGTGCGTTCCTATGCATAGCTGCCCTATATAGGGTTTCCAAGGAGTGGCTGGTGGGTTTGAACTGCCAAGCTTAATGATTAGCAGTCCAATGCTTATCTTATAGTGGTACAGAATACAGAAGTAAATCATGGTAGCTTAGAAGGTTTTAAAGTTGACAGAAAGAAATAAAACAGAATAAGGGAAATCAGGAAAGTGTGGTGGGAAGACAAACTTGAATGGGGTGGTCAGGATATGCCTAACTGTGAAGGTGGCATTTGAGCCAAGAGTGACAGAACGTGAGACAGTGAGTTGTGTACTTTCTTGAGGAAGAGTAAAAGGAGCACAGGGAATGACGAGTGTGAAGGCCCTGAAGCTAAAGCATACCTGACCTGTCCAGGGAAGGAGAAGGGGACCTGTGTGACTGCTGAAGCAAAGGCGAGGATGAGGGTAGTACTGGAACTGGTAACCAGGGGCTTGATCTTAGATGGCCAAGCCTTAGCATCTGAATAAAAGTGAGTCATTAGCAAGTCCTGCCAAAAAGAATGGCCTAATCCAGCCTATGTTTTTAAAGGGTCGTCACACTAAGTACAATGTTGACATTAGACAAGGGTAGAAGTAAACAGACCAGCTGGGGGCAATTTCAGTAGACAGATAAGATGATGATGGATTAAATCAAGGCAGAGCAGTGGGCGGGATGAGATTCACTGAAAGATCAGATATGCAGTAAGAGGAAGAAGAGACATTGATGAGTCCAAGGTTTTGGTGTGAGTCACTAAAGGATAGAATTACCATAAACTGAAATAGAAAAGACTGCAGACAGAGACGATTTCTGGGGTGGGATTGGGCATCCAGTGTTGGACATTTCATTTAAGAGAAGCATATTGGACCTCCAACTAGAGGAAGCAAATAGCATCTGAACAGATGAGCAGAGTTAAGAGGAAGTCTGTGCTGCATTTTTACATGAGAGTCATCTGCAAAAATGTAGTTATTAAGTCATGAGGTTACTAATGAATGATTGTGAATAGGGACTAGAAGCGTTCCAAGGACAGAGATCTGGAGAAGAAAACAAACTAGCACAGGCGATCGAAGTAGGGGGGAGTGGAATAAATGCTGTGTCCTGGAAACCAAGTGAAGAAAGTGTCCAGGGAGAAGGAGACACCTATTGTGTCAGATGTAGCTGATAGGTCAATAGGATGAGGACTGAGAATTGGTTGTCACATTAGCGATGTGGCAGCTTCATTGGCATGGTAGAAGCAGAATCTTGACTAAAATGGGTTTAGAGAAAGAAAAGGAAAAAAATATATATTAGAGTGATTCATTTACATGACTTTTTAAGAGATTTTGCTATAATAGAATAAGGCAGTAGATGGAGCCAGAAGACAGGTTGGATTTTTTGTTGTTTTTCTCTCTCTTCTTTTTGTAGGGTGACAGAAATAACCGGTTGGGCATTCTTACATAGGGAGGGAAAATCAGATAATGTAGATAAAATGGGAGACTTTCTGGAGGTATATTCATGAGTGTATGCCCAGGAGGAGGAGATCACCTTACAGAAGAGCGTAGGAAGTTTATCTGTGGTAACATGAAAGCAGAGGCTGCTGGGGAACAGGTGTGGGGTAGGTGGTCAAAGAAACTTCTCTTCTAATTTCTTCAGTTTTTTCAGTGAGCTCATTGGCTAAGAGTGAGGATGGGTAAGAAGGTTTGGGGAGAGGGAAGTGCTGTAGACAGCTAGGGAATCTGAGGACTGGATATGAGATGAAGAACCACACCAGAAGGAGCTCTGGTAGCATAGTGGTTACAAGTTGACCTGCTAACCTCATGGGCAGCTGTTCAAAACTACCAGTGATTCCGTAGGAGAAAGATGGGGCTTTCTGCTCCCATAAAGATTTATAACCTCAGAAACCCTACTCAGGGTCACTATGAGTTGGAACCAACTCCACAGCACACCACCACCACCACCACCACAGGAAGAATCATTAAAGACTCACTTGAGGATTATTCTCACCACTATTGGGATAGATATGTTTGTTGAAATCACCAAAAATGAAAACAGGAAATGAGTTAGAGAATCTATGAATGAGGAACCAAAGTCATTGAGACATTAGGGGAGGGAGAACCAGGGCCACACCTTGTGGGGGCAGGGTGGAAATGGAGCGAAGGGAAGAAGAATGGCCTGGGAATGACTGAGCGCGTGTCCTGGCTGCAGGGTGCAAGGATCCAACCACTTACAGACGACTGCTGGAGAAGCAGCATCCTCAGCAGAGAGCCGTGCTTTCGTTAGTGTAAGAAAGTGAAGCCAGAAGTCAGATCAGAGAATACATATACATCACAGTAATGTGACCTTTTATAGAATGTGCAAAATACATAAAATTCTCAAATATCCAGAGTAAATTGACATGTACCTATATCAGATATTTTACAAATTGCGCAAGTATAGCTTTTCCTTGAAATGTCTTACTTTTCCTCAGGATGTGTTAATAATGTCTTAAGACATGTATAATTTTTTTCAATCATCCAGAGCCTTGATAAGCTTATTTGTTTCTACCAGAAAAAACACAAAGCATATGATATGTCTGAAACACTCAAGATCATTATTGAATTGCATCTCATCATAAAAGTTGTTTTGGTGGGGTTTTTTTGTTTGTTTGTTTGTTTTTAATCTTTTGATATTGTTACAAAAAAATGTATTTTCTTAAACCTGTCACTGAAACCGCTCTGAGAGAGGACTCTCTTTTTGGGTACAGTAACTTGACTGATGTGGTTAGCACATTGAAGAATAAATTAGATAATGTTACCTACAGGGCCATATTTAATTTAACTCTCTTCAGAGGGAACATGGTCCCTCTGAAGTTAAAGCAGCAGTAGATCTTGCTGGGGTGTGGCTGCACAGCCCTGCCCAACATGTGTCCAAGGCTGGCCTCAGAAGAGAGAAATGACATGGACTTTATTTTCAAACATGGTAAAGGAATGAACCAGCCTGGGGTAAATGAAGAGTAGTGGGTTATGTAAGTCAGTGGCACACCTGGGGAGCAGGCTGGACTAGGAGAGGAGGGAAGAAGAATGTCCTGGAATGACTGAGACCCCTGGTGTGGTGTTGTAGGATAAGCATTAAACTACTAACCACAAGGTCAGCTGTTTAAACCCATCCGCTGCTCCTCAGAAATGCTATATAAGGTCACTATGAGTCAGAACTGATTCAACGGCACTTAACAACAGGGAAGATACATTTAATGATTTGGGTTATGTCCAGTTATTTAGTAAATAATTGAGTAAGTTATTTAGTAAAAAAAAAAAAAAAATTTAGTAAATGAACTATACTATTGTTTAAAGCCAATTTATGATATTTGTTCATTTTAATCATCTGTTCCATTTATGACACTACCAAAAAATAGTATTGCCTTCATCTTTGCCCACCTAGTGATGTCTATTAATTTTCCACTTTTATCTCAAAGCACTGAGTTTACCTTAAGTACAATTCTGTTAACATTTGAGGAGTTTTCATGAGCTTCAACTTGATCAAAGCTCGGTAACACCAAACTCTGGCACTCAGAACATGTACGTGTTGAGCCCGTTCACAGACATAAAGACATTCCTTTGATCTGAAGCCACTGTTTATAACAAATCCAGAATGTTCTCAGACTTAGTCTTTCAAATCCATCGGTTTCCCAGACATCACCAAGAGCTATCCTCGTATCATTTAACTCAAGGTATATGAGTCTATCTTCTATGTTTGCCAACCATCCACACCCATGCTGTGTTGTTTCATATCCTGTACATAATTTGACTTTGGAAATAACCCTTGTGACTTGGCCTGGGGATACCCTTCTCCAGCCTACCAGGAGGAAATTATCTGGGATCCAATTCATCCAACCACATGTATACAATATGTTTGTCAAATAAGTTGACCAAATTTGCACCTAGAATTTGTTTTGAGAGAACCCTTGCATGATTTTATTTGTTAAAGCAAACTCTTCTCCGTGTCCCAATTTTTAAAATTCTCCCTTTAAGTCAGTAATCAGTTACATTTTTTTATTTAACTTTTTTATTGTGAAATGAGTGAAGGTTTACAGACAAGATCATCAGTTTTACATTCAACAAATCATACACTTTGTTTCACATCAATGATTGCAATCCCCTCCATGTAAGAACTGTTATCCCACTTCCTCCCTGAGATTTCTTCTTCCATTCCACGCACCTTCAACCCTTCTTAACCTTGTCCTTAGGTAAATGGTACCCTTATGATATTGAATGATTGACCATTCCGTGGTGAGCATACTTACTGTTGGTGTTGTCCCCCTTATGTACCTCTGTACTACATAGCTAAAAATTGGGCCATTAAGTTAGTACCATTCCAGACCTGAAGGAGAGTTGAGGGCCATAGTCTTGGGTTCCTCCAGTCTCTTTCTCACTACTGCTGTGGTCAGGTGCCATTGAGTTGGCTCCAACTCACTGTGACCATGAATAGCGTTCCTTAGGAGCGGCTGGTGGGTCTTTTTATCTCTGTGGCACTGTAAGATAAGTACTGTTGGTTGGCAGTTCAAACCCACCAGCCTTTCCTCAGAAACCCTATACTGGGTTGTTATGAATTGGAACCAACTCAACAGCATGCTGCAGTATCAACAACAGACATCCAAGAAAATCATACAATAGATTTTATGATTGCTTATTCCTCAAATGTGTCACATAAATTCTCTGTGATTACATCCCAAGTATGTAAAATATCATTAGGAAACATTTTTTTATCACCAGACATATCAAAAATATGCAAAAGAAATGTTGAATTAATGACTTCAAACTACTTATGTTTGTGTTTATTTTCACAGAGACTTAGTTCATTGTCATATAAGTCTCGGGAAGAAGACCCAACTCTTACAGATGAAGAGGTACGTTTGGTTTCTTTTTAAATAACCAGAAAGCTCCTGTAAAATAAAGACGAGGGCTTCTGTCCTTGCATAAATGCATCTTTGTCTGAAAAAAGCAAAAATACTCTCTTACACTTATCATTTGAGATGAAGGTTTGGGGGTGTTGGCTTTTTAATGACTCAGAGAGCGTAATTGGCAGAGGATAAGATAGAAAAAGGCCACAATGAATGAGCAAATCCACTAAGTTAAAGAAATGGAGTCAGAAAGAAGCATCAGAAGAAAAATGAAAGGAGTAAGGATGAAACTGAGGATGAGACAAAATACAAGTAAGGGTGCCATTGTCAGCAGTCAAGAAGACTTCGCTAGAAGGGAATGAATACCAAGTTAGAGAATGCAGGCAGTTGGGACAGGTGGGCATAGGGAACTTGATCCAGCCTGGGAGAGAGGGAGAAAGGCTTAGTGGGGAATTTGGATTCCAAGAGCAGGCAATTTCAGGAAGTTAATTTCAGACTGGAGGTAGGGTCAGACATACAGCCAGCAAGAAAATGTATATTTCCTAGCATCAGGGGTTAAAAAACAAATCCCTAGTTGAACTCTCAGCAAAACAGTGCAATTATAACAGCCAGTTGATATGTAATAACATGTGTCAAACTAGGAAGGACCTACAGAGATAGGAACACCGTAATTTATCTAGCTGCATATAGCTTTTATCTGGGATTCTTCTCATAGACAATTTGATACATGTAAAAAATTATGTCTACATGCAGGTATATCACTTGCTATGATTGACTATTGAAATGTGATGATAGACTCCAATCCCACTCTGAAAATTCAACTAGCAGAGGGGCTTTCCTGAGGTGTTTATTTGCCACCTGACTTCCCAGTCCCTGTCCTAGGGAATGAATCTGCTACCCATCCACCTTTTGACACAAGCCAAAACCCTGGGAGTCATCCTTAACACCCATCTTTCCCTCATTGCCTTCATACCTAACCAGTCACCAAGCTTTTTTCATTCCGCTCCAAGCTTTTGCTTTCACACACCTGTCTCCACTGTGGCCACCCCCCACCATACCACAGCAGTACCCTCCTATTGCTCTTGGCAGCTCCGTGTGACTCTTTCTAGTCCTCCTCCTGTACTATAAGTTGTCTATACAACTCTATACTGAGTTGTCTTTTTTAAAAAACACAAACTAGGAGTCCTAGTGTGGTGCTTTGGGCCAATGCGCTGGACTGCTAAGTCAGTTTAAACCGCAAGATCAGTGGTTCAAGCTCACCAGCTACTCCTAGGAAACCCTGTACAGGGTCACTATGAGTCAGAACTGACTCGACAGCACTTAACAACAACTAAACCAACTAAAAGAAGCACTTATGGAGCAGTGGTTAAAGCACACCACTGGCAGCCAAAGAGCAATGGTTCAAACCTACCAGACACTTCATGGGAGAATGATGTGGCAGTGTGCTTCTGTAATGATTCACCACCTAGGAAACCATATGGAGAAGTTCTCTTTCCTACAGAGTCACTGTAAGTTGGAATCATCTTGATAGAGAGGTTAGTTTGACATTGAAGGTGAACTAGATCACTCATATGAAATGGTTTCTACTTGACTAAACCTAGAGGTTGGTGGCTAAAACTCACTCAGCAGAACCCAGGAACAAAGGCCCAGTGAATTGACTTCTGAAAAGATTACAGCCAAGAAAACTGTATGCAGCAGGTCTGTACTCTGTAACCTATGGGTTCCCTATGAGTTGGAATTGGATCAATAAAAATGGGTTTGGTTTTTAGTTAAGCCAACTAAGGAAACTTGGGCCCATCTGGAATCCAAAAGTAAAATATGTAGGAGACCTAATCCTTTAAACCCTCCAGCTATGAGTCAGACCCAACCTTACAGCAATTAACAACATTTGTTAGTTGATTTTGATGTTGCCCCCAAACCCACTGCCATTGATTTGATTCTGACTCATAAGCAGCCCTATATAGAGTGTCTGAGACTGTAGATCTTTACGGAAGCAGGCAACCTCATCTTTTTCCCTCAGAGTAGCTGGTGGGTTTAAACTACCAACCTTTCAGTTAGCAGTCCAACACCCAACCCACAGAACCACCAAGTCTCCTTTTTTGGTAGTTAACTATTGTGGTTGTTAAGTGCCGTCAAGTCAGTTCCGACTCATAGCAACCCTCTATAGGGTTTCCGAGGAGCAGCTAGTGGGTTTGAACCTCTGATTCACAGTCTAGTGCTTATTCTACAGTACCACACCAGGAGTCCATGGTTAACTCTAGAACCTATTTATACTGATGAATTTCTAATGTAAAATAAAGAACTGTGATTCACACATATTATTTTTAGGAAGAAGGAGATTTAAGACAGTAAATATGGAAATCATTTATTTTTTATATTCACATAATATAATATTAGGTAGTTCAAACTAAAATTAGGAATTGAGTTTTAATACAATTATTGTAATTTAACAGAATGATGGAGAAAGGGTTGATTATAAAAGAAATAGAAAAATAGAAGGGACTAATTTATGAGAACAGTAATTAATAAGGTAAGTAATAAGATGAAAGATTTTAAAAAGAGAAATTGAAAAGTTAAACAGCAAGGGAACTTGAAGAGAAACATATATGCAAATTAGAAATAATAGTTGTAAAAGAAATATTTAAGAGGAATGTCATAAGACTTGAAAAGCTTTTATAGAAAGTATTATACCTTCTGTGTATGTTTGGAGTCCTGGTGTGGTACTGCAGGATAATGTGCTAGACTTCAAAGTTGGTTTGAACCACAAGGTTGGCAGTTCAGGCTCACCAGCCACTCTTCAGAAACCCTACTCAGGTTGGCTATGAGTTGGAACCAACTCGACAGCACTTAACAATATATTAGGCTTGTTAAGTGCCATCGTGTCAGTTCCAACTCATAGGGTTTCCAAAGAGCAGCTGGTAGGTTTGAACTGCCAACCTTGTGACTCGCAGTCCAGTGCTGATCCTACAGCACCACACCAGGAGTCCTTACTACGTTTAATACACTGTATAATACTTTTACCCTCTTATAAACCTTGTACATTGTTGTTGTTAAGTACTGTCGGGTGCGTTCCGACACATACTGACCCTGTATAGAGTTTCTGAGGAATGACTGGTAAGCTTGAAACACTGAACCTTGCAGTTCAAACTGAGTTTGCAGTTCAGTGCATTAACACACAGGGCCACAAAAGGAGGATATAATACTTTGAGAAAAGTTTTTCAAGTCTTCTGACGTTCTGTTTAAATATTTCTCTTCTACAACTATTATGACTAGGTTTGGAGTCCTGGTTGGCACTGTAGGATAATTCACTGGATCACAAAGTTGGTTCGAACCGCACGGTCTTCAGTTCATACCTACCATCCACTCTTCAGAAACCTTAGATCAGGGTCACTATAAGTCAAAACCAACACGACAGCAGTTAACAACAACAATATGAGGTTTATGCTTATAAACCATATTAGGTTGCAGGTTAATGAAAGAGCCTATAATGATAATCACATAGAGAACAGTGGGGAGCGCAAATGGCAGGGACTGTGAGGAAGGACAGAGAGGGGAGAAACACAAATAGTCATCAGGGCCAAATCTCATTTTTTACAGTCTCTAGGGTAGGTGTGTTTAGTCCTCAAAGGTGAGGAATAAATTTCTAATAGGCTGCGTCCTTTCATTCCCATTATCCATGGAATGAAATACTTTAAAATCTGTCAACATTTTGTCTTTGACTACCTATTGAAATAATGAGTTCCATATGTTTGCTACTTGCTATGAAAAGTGGAGGTGGTAGTTATGTGTTGCGGAGCCAGTTTTTACTCATAGAACCCTGTATATGGTTTCTGAAGCTGTGTATCATTACCAGAGCAGAAAGCCTTATCGTTTTCTGTAAGATCAGCTGGTAAATTTAAACTGCTGACCTTGCAGTTGGCTGCCCAACTGCATAACCCATTATGCTACAAGGCACCTTACAATAAAAAGTAGTGGGTTTTTGTTGCTGTTTCTGTTGTTGTTGTTAATCGAGTTGATTCTGACCCATAGCAACCCTGTATAGGATTTCCAAAGAGCAGCTGGTGAGCTTGAACTACCGACCTTGCAGTTCAAATGACTTTGCAATCTGATGCATTAGCCCACAGCGCCACACCAGAACTCCTTGTTTTTTTAGTTCTTCCTAAATTCAAAGAGATTATATTACAGTTCTAATTTGAGAGTCCTTTCCCCATTGAAACCTGTAAGTCAAGAGCTTTAATGTTTCAAGAGGTACCTAACAAAAATAACAACAAGGCCATCTACTCTTGCTCACTAATATACACTATATAACCTCATATAAAAATGGATTTAATTTTCTTTAACAACAGATAAAATGCATGTACTGATTTTTAAGAATTTTTGTTTATTGTTAGAAATCATGACTGGAAATACGCAAAAATCTCCTTTATCACTTATGTTTATTTTTGCAATAGTGAATGAGTTATTCAAATGCCCAGGAAACAAATAAACATACTTCCTAAAAGAGGCCTGGCTTCCCATTGCCCAGGGACATGTTCTCACATCCACATAGCTCACAAACTGTGGGAGAGCTTTCAGCTAGCCTCGGGAGCTTCTGTTCTTGTTAGGAGTCTTGGGTGGCGCTGAGTTAATGTGCTGGACAGCAGTCAGTTTGAGCCGCAAGGTCGGCAGTTGAAGTTCACCAGGTGTTCCTCAGAAACCCTATGTAGGGTCGCTGTGGATTAGAACCAACTCGAATGCACTTAACAACAACAGCTACTTGTTAAACTGGCCATTTGTATAAGAAGTTGTCCTGCCCACTGGTTTATCAGTTTTTCAATTAGTTTTTATTGCTTTATTTTCTATTATGTAAGTATGTAAGAAAACATTGGCTGATTCAACATTTCTTACTGGTACACTCCGTAGCATTGATTCATGACTCCGTAGCATTGATTCATGTTTTGCAACCATCACCACTGTCTGCTTCCAAATTAATTCACCATGTTAACAGAAACTCCATGCTGGTGGCTCAGTTTCTCTAGGTCTAAACAATCCAAGCATGTACAGCCACTGAAATAATTTTGCAAAATTTTGCAAGGTTCAACTTCATTTCTTAGTTGGCTGTAAATACAAATGAATTTTCTCATTGAAGAAAATTACACCCAGCCTAGAAATAGAGGTTTGGCCAATAGCATGCAACTAAGTAAGTAAATGGATAAACACAATATGGTGTATCTAAAAAATGGAATATTACTTAGTTGTAAAAAGGAATAAAGTACTGATGCAATCATGTTACAATTGGGATGAATTTTGAAAACATAATGTTAAGTGAAAAGTCAGTCACAAAGGATCACATACTGTTTGATTCCGTTTACATGAACTATCCAGAATAAGCAAATATAGAGACAGAAAGTAGATTAGTGGATGTCTTGGACTGAGGACTTGAAGGGGCAGGTGTGTGAGGTTTCTTTTTGAGGTGATAAACATGTTCTAACATTGATTGTGGTGATGGTTGTATAGCTTAGTGAATATATTAAAAGCCAGTAAATTATATACTTTAAGTAGATAAATTATATGGCTTATGAATTATATCTCAATAAAACAATATTTTAAAAGTAAAATAGTTACAAAATTCAAGATTATATAATAAACCTGTATTGCCTCAAGGTCGCTTAAAACCACAAAGTAAACAGTTCAAACTTACCAGCCGCTCCTTGGAAACCCTATATAGGATTGCTTTGAGTTGGAGCCAGTTCCACAGCATTTAACAACAACAACAATATACCCCCAGATGAATACAAGTAACTAAGAAAAAAATCTTCAAAAAAGATACACACATGCAGTTGTACATAAATTCTAAGTATCTAGCTTATCAAGGGCCTCTGATAGCGTAGTGGTTACGAATCAGGCTGCTAACCTCAAAGTAGGCAGTTCGAAACTACCAGCCATTCCACAGGAGAAAGATGAGTCTTTCTGCTCCCATAAAGATCTACAGCCTCGGAAACCCTGTACAGGGGCACTATGAGTCAGAACCAACTCCATGGTACTTAACAGCAACATCTAGCTTGTCACTAAAATGGGGGTGGGAAGAAAGTCACAGCTCGAAGAGTGCTTATTTAATCAGTCCTCTGTTTTCTAGATCTCAGCCATGTACTCATCAGTGAATAAACTTGGACAGTCAGTGAATAAATCAGGACAGTCGCTTAAAGTGCCAGAATCCACCTACACCTGTATTCAAGATGGCACCCCTCAAAGATCCCCATCTTCCTGTAATGATCTCTATGCTACTGTAAAAGACTTTGAGAAAACTTCCAACAGCATCAGCACACCTCCACCAGCAGAGAGACCCACCGAGGAGCCAGAGCCAGATTATGAAGCAATACAGACTCTCCACAGAGAAGAAGAAAAGCCCTCTCTAGAGACCAATGGTCTCCATGGTCTTTTCCCAAAGGAGAATGACTACGAGAGCATTGGGGACTTGCAGCAGCAGTGCAGGGATATCACCAGACTCTAGCAATCGAGGACTCCAAATACCATGTTATCAGTCATTTAGAGACATTTTTTCTCTGGCAGATCAGACGTGACTTAAATCTATTACTTTATATGCTGCTTTAGTAAACCGAAGACAGCTGGAGATGCCATGATGGTTTTCCTAATTTTTGAAACAGTAAGGTACGTTCCCGGCTGGCTCCCGAATGTGCACCTGCCTGCGGGGGGCAGGTCCACCCACACATATCACACATTTTCCTTGCCCTCTACAAAGATCCAAGCTGACAGTGTTTTCATCATTTCCATGAGGAACACCAAGATGCAAGGAAGATACTGCACTCATCAAGAACTCAACACCACCTGCCTAAACACTGCCAATCAGAAGATCCAGGATTTTCTTTCTTCCCTTTTGATTACCTGATACCAACTTTAAAATCTGTGGCTTTATCCCCATCTCAAATTTTTCCAATTTGTATGGTTCATTCCAAGCATAGTCTCCTATGAGATTGACTTTTACCTTCAAGCTACACAGCTGAGGATGGTGAGAAACTGAGGTCAGTAGTTCCCATTCACTTTGTCAATCCTCCTTGAAGAGCCGCCCCCACTGGTGCCTGGGAATCTTTAACCCTGCAGGTGATTCCGATTAAGGACATCTCTTGATTTTCTTCGGTCTTTGTTCTTTGTATTGTGTCAGCAGCCTCTCTCCAAAGCACTTGAAATCCGTTTTAGATGTTTTGTTTTATTTTTCTAGTCAAAAATTTTTTTGCTCTCTCAGTGTTTTAAAACTCTTCAGAGCATTTTCAGTATTCTCAGTGAGTATTGTAATACTGCTATACTTGTTCTAGCCCAGAGCTCACTCCTTCAAAACAGAGAGCCTTAATTTTTGTGTTGGGATACAGACCACGGGTTTGGAACAGCAGCTGTGCTGTCTGTCATCCGTGAAGAGCTGCGGACATGCGTGTGTGTTTCAGATGATCTCTGCTGACTACACCAATGTGGAATTTCTTAAGTTAACTGCTACCCTAAGGTAATTACCCTAAGGGAATCTATATAAGATTAAAATATAAACATTTATTTTTGTTATATAAATTTATAAGATGCTTTATGTTTACTGCCTAATTTCTAGAAAAGTGCCAGAAAAATGTAATTTACTATTTTGATTTTATGTACAATGATTTATACTTTAGTTTTGAAAAGACACCATAAAGCACATAAGTTAAATAATTATAAGAAGTTGTTACCAGTTTTCTAACCTATTGTTTAAAACATTGTGGGTTTTTAATGACTCCCAGTCAAAATCATCTGAATCAATAGATTAATAAATGGTATAAGCAGAAAATAATCATTTTCTGTGCCTTGTGGCAAGCAGTATTGAAATTTTTGAAATGATAAAAATGGACAGAAGAACAAAATAAGACTAGGAATCACTTTGTGAAGCATGAACCTCTTAAAGTTACCATAATTTCATAAGTCCAGTTACATTTTAAGAAAATGATGAATTCCACGGTCCAGTGCTTGCAAATGCAAATTGTCAATTGAGGTTTTCTTTTATTTTACAAAAATCAATGACTGAAATAACTCCTATTAAGAGCTCCGTCTGGTTTGAATTTAATCATATCTTATGAGACCAATAATGTGACATTATACAAAGAGCTTATGTGGCCAACACTGGAAAACTTGTTCACTTTTCATTTTAAAAGGAACCTAGTTGAAGTCCTATTATGAAATATAGCTTACAGAAATGGGACTTTTTCTAGACATAAAGGGGAGACATTAGCAATTATTTCTGTATTGCTATGGTATCTGTGACTTCAAATATAATGATTTTTCACTCATCATGACAAAGAATGAAATGCAGAAGACGAAACATGTTGAAAATCGCAAAGACCCACGTACAGGCGTGCTTTGACATCCCTTGCATTCTTGGCTTAGTATTGCAAGTGCTCTGTAATTATACTTCTGAAATGGTAATGTGAACTACTTTGGGGTAAACTGGTTGGTGGTTGGCATTTTTCAACCTGATGTCTTCTATGAAAATGTCCTATCCATGATTGATTTAGAAGATAATAGTAGAACATCCTTGGATTGGAGAAAAGTTTATCAAGAAAGGGCAAGGCCCTTGTCTAAATTTACATTTGTCATAAGCCCTGTTTTGCCCAGTCATGTCATTACTTAGTATGAATGACAGTCTATCATGTCATGGAGTTCCTTTAGTACATGGTCAGAGCCACATCACATGGTGCATGATTAGAGTAAATGTTCTTTATGACACCTTATGACTCAAAAGGTTTGATTATATTTCATAATGTCTGACTTATCACCAGAAAAACAGATAAAATCTCTGAAGTGTAAGCCCATTTCTTGAGATGGAAGCTCATTGTAAATACTTACATCGTCTTGAAATCCCACTGTCAAAATTCTCAGTCCCCAAATACTGCTTCGGCAATGTTGCCAAAAGAATATGCACTGAACTATTGCTCTTGATTTGAGAACCAGCAGTAAGAAAAAGTTGTGATATCGAGAGTTTTAAGTATACTTTTAAAAGAACTAGAAGATTCTCAGTACAAACCCTGAAAGCATAAATGGCAGGAGAGTAAGAAACAGAGTCCACTTTGGGAAGACAGCTCTGTTCTTCAGGCCATGGGGTACTTTACGGAGGTCTATTTATTAATGTACTGCCATTGTTTCACCCCTGTGGTACAGCATTTCATAAATTTTATCACTTTCCTTGATCACTTGAAAACCTGTGCTTGAATCTTTAAGTCAGGCAAAAGCCTTTTTGGAAAAAAAAAAAAAGGCTTTTTTTTTGAAAGCTTCATCTTGAAATAAATGCTATAGAGTTTAAATGTATGAAAAGTAATTCTCAAAAGAAAGGGAATTTACCTTTAAAATTCAATTTTGACATCTGTTTTATGCATTCAGTTATAATAATCTATAGTATATGAAATTATACAAAAAGGTAAAAATAAATTGTAGATAAATTTTTACTTATAAGCAAGAATTATAAACCTAATTTGCCTAAAAAGAGGATTTTTTTTTTTTATTATTTAGATATTTTGAAAGTTGGACACATTTTGCATGTAGTTTTTCCTATTTTTTCAAATATGTTCAGCAGAAAAGTGTATCCTATTTTTTGTTAAATATTAGGAAATTTTAAATTCCAGAAGAAAATAATTATTGCAAATATGTTGTATACATTTTTTTAACCTGTTTTGAACTAGTTACATCACTAGGTCTGTAAAAGTTTTTAAAGGTATTGCTATATATGTAAGACAAAACTAATTACTGACTTAGATGCCATCAAAATTCAAGAGTTAATGGAGTCCTGGTGTGGCCTTGTGTAAAATAAAGCACTGGACCACGAGGTCAGTTTGAACCACAGATCAGCAGTTCAAACCCACTAGGTGCTCCTCGGAAACCCTATACAGGGTCTCTGAGTCGGCGCTGACTCAGTGGCACTTAACATCAACAACAAATTAATGATAGGTACTCAACACAAAGAACTGAAATTTAACCTCAGAATGTGACTTTGTTTTTCTTACTTGATTTTCATTTTTCTAATTACAGCATTTATTGACTTAACTAGTTTCTTTTGCATACATCTACCCATACATGGTTGACTGACACAGCTTTTGTACTGAATTAATTAAGACACTTACAGAACATATTGTGAATGTTCATCCTAGCGTATGATGAATTTTTGTCATAATAGAAGGACTAGAAGAAACAGTTCTCCAATAGTTTTCGTTTGGTAAAGTGAGGGTAACTTGCATTTTTTCTAATTACCATATTCAGATTTTAAATTTCCTGTATAATTCTTTCAGCTGGAAAAATACTGTCTTTCAAGATTGGTTTATTTTACGATTATTGTTGTTGCTATTGTTGCCTTGCCCTGCAGTCAGTTCCAACCTCTGGCAACCCCATGCATTGCAGAGTACAAATGTAATCTTTGTGGCAGCAGTTTGCCAGTCTGCCTTTCTTCTGCAGAGCCCCAGGGCAGATTCAAATCATCAGCCTTTAGTTTAGCAGCAGATTGCAAACCACTGGTTCCATCTTACATATTCAACTTGGAACCAAGGCCATGTCAATATATATACTTCTCAGTTAGGTGGTTGAGGCCAGATATGTCCTAAAGGTTCAAGGAAGTAACCAAGAGCTGAATTAGAGCAAAGACAGCAGAGGCAGGTGCCACGTGTTGGCATTTTATTTCATTCCTTTTAGAAATTACTGGGTTTTACTGAGAGAATCAATAAGCAGTAATGTTCAAAACCTGCTCTGAAATTATATGGCTGTAATTTCAGAGCATCAGTGCAAGACTAAATAGGATTTTGTAAATGAGTAAATGGCATTTGTTTCAGTGCACCTTGTAATAGTTCATGAAAGTTGGTGTAATCTAGTGTTGCCATTCTGTTTACAGTGTTAATTTCTGGTACTCGGCCAGTTTAGTAACTGGCTGCTGCAAACACAGTAGATATGAATGGCTGTTTCCTAAAGAAAGTCTTGACAGACTCATACTGTGTAACTGGAAAAAGTTAAAGTGTAATGTTTGGTGTTACGTGACTTACGTGAAAAATAGGAATATGTGTCTGTAATGTCAAATTCGACTTTATTTGCAGTGAAATCTAAATTCCTTGTCCTGTAATAGTATTTTCTTGCTTTGTATTGTGCTTTTTCTTAAATTCGTTATTCTTGACAGTGGGTTAGGCAAGTTGAACACACTTGGACTGAAAGTGTTTGACTTAAGAGAAGTCCAGATCCATGATGAGTTCAACTCTATCTGGAATTACCAAAATAAATTAAAAATCATGGTCCAGAAGAGAACAAACATTCATAAGTGTTATTTTTTTTTCTACTGTTAATTTTTAAACCTGTGTTTATGCCCAGTCTTTAATATATATAAAATACAAGCAGTCCCCTGGTTACAAATATGTGACTTATGGACAACTCCTACTTGTCCTTTAATGTTACATACATCTTCCCTCATTTTGAATTGATTAAACCAATTCCACTTGAAACAAATTCTTC